GGGGGGTTGATGACAAGCACGGGTGTTACCTGGCGATTGAGGAGACAGTGCACCAGGAAGATGAAGGCTCCCTGCAGGCTGTTGACGATGGTGAATAAATACGCCATGACCGTGGCTGCTGGGCCGATTTGGAGGAGACCAAGACTCCATGTGCAGCCCAGAATGAAGAGCTGGGCGATGGCTTTAAAGGTCAGTAACCTGGATAAGGGCAGATGGAGAGATGCCATTACAAAAACCCTATGGAGAGCATTTGGGTTAGGAGGATCTGAGCAGGGTAGGGTGGAGCTACCATCCCCAGCTTTCCTGTGTGGGAACAGGGTTACTGTCAATGCAAACACTATGGGAATTCATTCCCATGGATGCTAGATATGTTGTTCCCCTCCTGCAATCCTTCACACCATCCCGGTGCCAAGGACTCTCTAAACTAAGGCATCTGACCCTCCAGGACTGTTTTGTTGCCATCTCACCTGTGGTCTCTGACGGTGGACACATCTGCATTGAGAGAGGAGAGTTTGTTTCTCAGGATCCACAGGGTCACGGTAAAGAACGTTATATTTATCTGTGGGAAGAGTGGGAAATATTTCCTGTAAAACTTCCCATCCGGGGCTGGTAACTCCAGCTGAGGCAGAGAACGATCCCAAGGGACAGATCCAAGCACTGCGGAACCAGGTACTACTCATTTGCACCTTTTCAACAGTAATGGAATATAAACTGTTCACGGGGATGAGGTGGACAAGGCTTTCTTCCGGCAACTAGCAGAAGTTACTAGATTGCAGGCCCTGGTTCTCATGGGAGACTTTAATCACCCTGATATCTGCTGGGAGAGCAATACAGTGGTGCACAGACAATCCAGAAAGTTTTTGGAAAGTGTAGGGGACAATTTCCTGGTGCAAGTGCTGGAGGAACCACCTGGGGTAGAGCTCTTCTAGACCTGCTGCTAACAAACCGGGAAGAATTAGTAGGGGAAGCAAAAGTGGATGGAAACCTGGGAGGCAGTGACCATGAGATGGTTGAGTTCAGGATCCTGACACAAGGAAGAAAGGAA